AACGCGCGTCGGCAGGGGAACTGGGCCCACCTGAGATTACCTTTTGATCAGTCTTCATTTTCGCCTTGCAGAATGAGACCGAAGCCGGGCAGGCTGGCAGCGTCGTCTCCTGCATCCGCTCAAACCTGTCCTGCTCATCTTCCTCCTGCCGGCAGAAAGAGAGAGCCCACTCCATGTGAAAAACACACATCTGGAGCCATAGAGGTCAACCGATCCTGTTTGCTGCCTCGAACGCTGATTTAATCTGTCTGAAGGCTCGGAAGTGAGAGGTCCCCCCCTTCCCATGCCTTCGGTGAGCAGATTTGGGCAGGACTTTGGGCAAAATCCATCTGGAAGTGTAAAGCCCCGCAGGGAGTTCTCTCAGCTGTGTTCTCACGGCCGTGCTCTGCCTACAAGTCCCCACAGGACAGTCCCTTCCACCACAAGATAATCACACAGCGTGAACGAACGCTGAGCTTCGGCATGATCCCCGCTGAGCCCAGCCTAGCTGATGTCCATGCCCACCGCTTCTCCAGGGAACCATCTAGAAGGCGTGAGCGCACTGAAGAGGCACATGGCTTCAAGGAAGTACAATTTTTTTCAGATACCGGCTTGTCTATAACGTTTTCATGCCAGCTTTGAGGATAGCCCTAGCAGATTCTTAGGTCACCTTCTGTGGCGGTTCATGAGTAGCCTGGAGAAGGTGACAGTGAAATTCTGGTGTGACAAAAGGCAGGTGGCCACAAGAGTAAAAGATGCACACCCTGGAGAAATGGGTTAGACGAGGAAATGAAGAGCCAGTCTGGAAAAAAAGGAAAATGGTTCTAAGTAGAGAACAAACCTCCAGAGAAAAATGAGGTGGTGGCCTCCTCCCAGACCGGTATGGGCCTCAGCACGGCCAGCGACACGGACTGGGAAGCTGTGGTGAGCTGCCCAGTAAAAGCAACAAGAGGAGAAACCAGCACTGAGCAACGTTACCAGGAACACTCCGTATCCTCCACCTGAAGATTTCTGCCCGTAACATCTGCAACGGGACACAGGTGCCAAGCATTGCTAAAAGGCATGCTTCGTTCAGCTTTGGGGTCGTAACTGATGCGGTGACAAGAGAAAGCCAGGGCTGGAAAGCATTAAGGGACCTTCTATGAATACATTGAGTAACTTGGGTTAGTAAAAGTGACTAGTGATGGATTTCCTCCTTTCTCCCCAGAGTGACATCCCGGACCCATGCACTCACTCAGGGTTTTCCTGTCGACCTCGGTGGGCTTTAGCCAAAGGGGGTTGGGTTGGGTTTATTTTGTTTGGCTCTTTCCTATACAGGTATCTGAAATCTTCCACAGTCTGGGAGATCACAACATTCTGTTTAAAAGTAAACTCACTACGTTTTTTTTTTTCCTCACATCATGTTTGTTACTCATACCCTCAAGGGAACTAATTCAGCAGAACCTGTCTCTGATCAGCTTTAAAACTCTTCCCGTGCCTTTCTAGAAGGGAGTGAAGAAAATGCTTCACTGAGATTTACAGTCAAAATAATCAGACAGCCGGAGACAAAAGAGTTCCTTTTCTGTTTTCCTTCTAAAAAGCCAGAGCCATCCTGTCCCCCGCTACACGTTGGTTAGAAAGGGGGCTGTGCATTTAGGAAAGGGGTCACGCAGCTCACACCCTGCTTATTCGTTTTCCCAAACACCTCTGGGTTGGGGACAGGTTCCTGGGAGAGCTGGACCTAGGGCCTGTCCCCACCAGCTGTTCTCTGGGATCCGCAGAGGTTAAGCAGCAATAATGGAGCTGTGTTCCACCTACAAACGAAGGGCTGGTTCCCCCACACAGCCAGGGTGGGATGTCCCTCCTTGCTGTGCATCGCTTCGTCGCGGCAGACCGAGTGGAAGCGCTGCCGCCAGGTTCCTATCAAACGGCGTGAAGGTTTTGAATCTGACATTTAACAACGAAGGACAAAACCTGGAATGACTTCAGAGGAGAATAATGCAAAGGCGAAGCCTGGTAAATGAGAAGCTTAAGAGAAATGTGCTTTGTCAGGAATGACAAAAGACCCCGGGTACCCCAAAGCAGTGGTTTCTAAACAGAGGGCTGGCAAAGTACCAGTTGCCGCAACACAAAACACAATAGTTTAGCGGTAAACATTACAGATCATACAGGCTGGAAACAAGGCTCCCAACTACCCCTTGCACCTCCGGGCAGTTTGCCCAATTACTGAGAGTCAGCAGATGCTTGGTACTTCAATCCCTCTGTCCTGTTTTAGCCTCTTAATGGTAAAGGTAACACAAAAGCAAGAGATATCTCCAGATCGTTGCTCTCTGCATCATAGCAGATAGCATTTCAATGCCAGCCACCCTGCTTAGCGAAAGGAGCAGAGCTGCCATGCCCTCCTCCTCCCACGGGCTTAGTTGTGCCCTCATTACCATGCCACGTGTGGCTCTCAAGGAGAATAAGCAGAGCTGCCAGGACAACTCACCAGGCACATGACTCTGTTTATGGGAATCATTCCAGGTCTGATGTTGCCACCGGGCTTCACAGCTTCCCGCACATCCTTAGGGATAAGGAAGGACTCACTGTACCAGATCTCAAACTCTGCAAAGTAAAGCAGGGGGGCAATAAACAGGGCTGTAATGACCCAATTGACAAGGGTGGATTGCTTTGGGCTCCCTGCCCGTGGATCAGACGGGGCCTCCATGCTCTTAAACTCTCAGACAGCACCTCAGAACTCCAAGCTCTTGAGTTTCAAACTATTCCAATAGTTAAAAAGAACCGGGCACTGTTAGCTGCTGCCTGTGACGTGGTGGCTGGGACGTGGTGGGTGGCCCTGGGGACAGTCCCCTGGACTTGTGCAGCCCGAGGGGTGGCTGGCCGGGAGATGGCACTGGTCCTGCGTCCCGGAGACACGGGGCCATCCAGCTTGGAGCTAGCCATTTTGAGCGGTCAGCATATTTAGAGGTCAGATTTCCATTCCAAATGCTAAAGAAGCACAGCCGCTTTCTATCCCATAATAGCCAGTGATAACACACAGCAGGTGCTGCGATGCAACGGGAATTCTATCCTTATTCATCCTGCGCGTTTCCCAGACACCCGCTGCAAGGGGGCTGTGCTCTGCTCCGTTCCTCTGGCACGTTTCCCCACGGAGCGGGAGAGCCCCTGAAGAAGGCTGGGCTGCCCAGGAGGGACCCCAGGAACGGAGCTGCTTTCTGTCGGGGGAATCATGATAGGATAAACAAGGTTAAACGCAGAGCCCTGCTCTTGCTGGGCGCTCTGGGCATGATGCATCACCGACTTTTTAGCTCTGAGATGACATCTTCACCCTGGGATGAGACAGATATTGAGTGAGTCCATGCCTGTGTGTTTAAACAAACAGCAAACATCTGGAGCACCTAAAAAAATGCCAAACCCGGATCCAACGGAAACCAGTGGCAAAGTTTCTGCACAATTACGATTTGGCCCTATCTATCTCCTGGAATAAGCCACGCATTTCTTTCAGCGTGGGATGCACTGATGGATACAAGCTGTGCTCTGGCAAGTTTGTAGAAAATAAAGTGTTGCCATGTGCACAGCATCCAAATGTTTGGGACTCTGGCGTTCGTACACCTACCGTCTTCCATCATATGGGGCAAATCCGGGGATGCGGCAGGACTGCACAGACTCAAAGTGAGCAGCCTGCAGCAGAGCACACCGCAAATTTGCACGGATGGTCCCGAGCGGAGCTGTGACTTACCACCACGAGGGTGGTGCTGATGAAGAACACGCTAAAATGACCAAACTCTGCTTCCTGCCGAGGCACCTGGGCTACAGCACTGAAACCTGAATCTCACAGGGCTACGGAGGAGAGATCTGCAGTCCAGAGCCAAAGCCCTGGCCCGGTGCAGTTCCTTAGCCACCATCTCTGTTAAATGAAATCAAGGGTGAGAATCAGGGCCATCAGGGGGTGCGTTATCGTCATTTTCACTGTGAAGAGCTCTTACCCACAGCACTGCATCTTGTAGCATGACCAAGGAGCAGTATGTCATTATCTGGGAGAGAGAATCTGCAGCAATTCAGTGTTATGTCAAAAACAAAAACAAAAACAAAAACAAAAAACAACAAACCAAAAAAACTCAATCATCAATAAAAAACAAGAAGAAAAATGACCAGAGGATGATGGACTTGGCTTACATGCAACATGTCTGTGAAATGCTTCGGTACCGAGCTGCTGTCAAGCATCCCAGCTAAACCAAAGGCTGTTCAGAAAGGGCCCTGGTGAGCCAGTACCTGAGATGAGTTTGTTCCGGCACTGGTCCACCAGATGCTGGCAGTACTGGATTTCTGCCTTCAGGTCCTGCAGTTCAGCATAACCAGACCTGTACTCTTCCTTCAGGTCTTTCAGCTTCATGATGAGTAAAAACTCCTTCTCATCAATTATGATCTGTCCTTTCTCATCACCATACTCTCCTGGAGGGTAAGAAAAGGAAACGAAGGTTTCTCATGAGGGTGGAGAGGGACGAAGAACAGTCATTATACTTCGAACCACACAGTAGTTACCCAGTTATACTGAGGTTAACCACACAGTTGACATTTCCTTAGACATGCTTTTTACAAACACAGTGTCGGAGTGGTGTGGGGCAGAAGTCACTGCTGAACGCCTGATCTCGCTCAGACATCAGTCTGCCCCAAACCGGGCCACATGCAGATGAAGAGGAGGGACCGGGCTCCGCAGAAAAACACCCACATGGCAGCCTGTGGAGGGTATCGCTCCGGGCTTCTGTGGCTCCTGCTGCAAAACTCCCTGGGCAGCCACAGTAAGGGTTTTTGAGACAAAGGACTGGTCAGCCCTTTGGGGACAGTTAAGCCAGTTCTACTTTCCTATGATAAACATCTCTTGTTCTTGGTTTCCCTCAAATCGGTTTATTCCTGTGGTTTCCAGCATGCACAACAAACCACCAGTTGGTAGACGTCATCATAAAGAGCAAAGGCCCAAAAGAAGCAATGAGTCTGTGAAAAGACAGACCCTCTCTTTGGTACGGGTTCAAGCTGATTTGCTTATCATTTAGCCAAAAGAGCTTTCCGTCTTGCAGGGCTGGACTCTATGGGAAAAGGCCTCTTGCAAAGCATGGTTATAAAAGTCTCTCTATGGGAAGAGAAATGGAAACCAGTAGAGCAGCATCCATTCTGGGTCTGACTTTCTGGCCCTCCTTCACTAGTCGGGGCCTGCTTGCTGGTGACCGTTCTCTTTCTCTCTCATTCCCTCTTATTTCCCGCTGGCAACAGTTAATTAAGGCTGTCGTTTCACAGAACTGAGTTGTTTTGCTGTCCTCCCTGCATGCAAGGAACACTGCTGCTACTTCCTCGCCATCATACGCAGAGCACTCCAGACCACCCTGCTATTAAAGCCATTTGTTTCCCATTTCTCTCCTCGCCCAGAGGCAGAAAGGCAACAGTACCAACTCTTGCGAGCCCTGCTGCAGGGACCACAAAACCTGACACGCTTCCCAGTCTCATCCAGGCATATTCCACCTAACAAACATCTCGTCACAGCAAAGTAGGAAGGCGCTTACCCCATTTTTTCCTCTAGTACCTTGCAGTTTGGGATTTTGACTTTAATAAACCAGACCCTAATTTAGATGGAATCAAAGCTGTAGGAGATGCAGTACATCTCCACCACAGTAAGGCCAACCCTGCTACCCGTGATTTCAGCACCGTGCTGACCTGCATTTGTCAGCAGTACGCTGCCTAATCCATCAAACCGTGCGGTGAGGAATCAGCCTGACTGCAGCTCACCTCTCTCACGTAAAGCCTGAGTAGCACAACTCAATGAGGCTGAAGTGTGGAGGACTCAGGTGGAGGACTCGGGTGGCAAACCTCAAGGCCAGCTGCAGAGCTAGGGCATAAAGCCCAGCCTGCCCCGCTGCCCTGGCAAGCAGGAGTAGTGGGCTAGTGGTCTCACCACCAGAACTGCTTTGAAACCAGTGACTCCCCTCTTCTGTCAGATTCTTGCTGGGCGGTCTCCACCCAGCGACTTACCCTGCTGCGACCGCTCCTGTTTCTGAGCCTCCAGAGCCTTTGTGATGCCCTCCATCTCACGCTTGATGACGTCGATCCTCTGCACTACTGTATTGCTTCTCTTCTTCCTGGCAAGGAGGATGCTTTTGTTCTCTTTAAAGATCCGGCTGATCTCACTTCCACACTCCTCCTTAAACTGCTCAAATGCCACTGGCTTGGATGGAGGGGTGCTGCAACAGAATTCAAAGAAAACGCACACAGACACGGGGAGGTCAGTTTGTTCTGCCCTGCGGCACGACACAGTTCATGGGAGAGGCCATCGCCGAGGTTTGTGGATGGTATTTCAATAGGCCCTTTGAGGATCTCGCTGCGCTAGCTGCACCCTGGTACCGGCTCTGTGCCAACCTTCATACCCACTTTCCCCCAGCACCACTCCCAGAAGAAAGAGTTATTTACATAGAAACCACATTCCTCAGGAGATGCCTCAGAATTGAGTCCTCCCTAGAAAGTGGACCTTTAATGGTCTGAATTTTCAGAAAAATAATGAATGCTGTTTCTCCCTATTGTTAAACAGAAATGCCTTTGCTCTTTCCTCGCTGGATTCCCAGCACAGACCAGTCACCTCTGCCAACCAAACCCCAGAGCTGTGTGCGTTGGCCGGCTCTACAATGCTGCCGCCTGCAGCTTTTAAGTCTTGCCTATTTAGAAAGACGGAATTCAAAGTGGCATGTGTCAGTCCTGACTTTGCTATGAAACGGTTTCGATGCAAACGTGCCCCCGGGAACACCAGCTCTGACTTCAACACAAACCACACTGGGCAAAAGGAGGGTCCCTCAGGAAAATGTCACACTGCCACGGATGCTGCTCTGTCCTGCGTAAGGTTGTTCTTGGTCAGCAGGCTGGATCTGGTAGCAGAAGGTAGCTCGAAGTCTCCACATTCCTCAGTCCAGACTGGTCAAAGCAAAACTCTGACTACTGCCTTCCCCGGATTGACCTCTTAAGGGCATTTTCAAACTCCTCAAAGGCTGCGTGAGACGGCTTTCCGTGCCAAACTGCTGGCAAAGCACTGTAAACAACAGCCACCGGGCAAACTGCCACAGCTACAGCTCTGACAGCCAGCTCCCGAGCTACTTGAAGCACTCTGGGTTGTGCCTCATGCAGCTGGAGCCTTCCCTGCCAGCCACAGGACTTTTAGAAGAATGAAACGCACGCAAAAGGCATGGAGGAACGCGATAACATGTTAAGATGCTTCAGGAGTAAATTCTCCTGGGACGGCTTCGCTGCGATGCTCTCGCTGGGCATCAGGAACAAGCAGGGACTGGTCATCTACAGCACAGGCAATGGAGGTGCTCACAATACTTTGGAGCTGTTTCGCTTGTAGCTTGAGAGCTCCCAGGAAGACAAGATGGCTGGTGATGGGAAAAGTGGTGTCCAGACTGGTTTGTGGGGGAGTCCTGGCTGAGCTCCTGTGAGTTGAACAGCCTCATGCTGGAAAGGGTCCTGCGCCTCGGTACCCTTAGCATTTTTTACCCCATCCCGAATGAAATGCAATTCAGTGCTTCCCTCCCATGCTAAATTCTTGTCGTGGTACAAGCAGATGACTGGCACATTGCTGTGTTTTTGGCCATTCTCCGCTCTTCTGTCATGATACGGCACCTCCTGCCATGATCTTGTGCGGCTATTGACCCATTTTCATGACTGTGTGGGGTTTTCTGGCTGGACATGAGGTCTCTCTCTGCACTTTTACTACTAACCAAAGGGTAAAGAGTGCCGCAATTTTCAGAGACTTCACAATTAATAGAGCAACTGGCCAGGGCAGACCTCAAAGCAGAGACGATGACCCCCACCAACATGCTTTGGTACACAAGGTGTCCACACAACCACCGCTGTCCTACAATGCATTTCTGCATCCAAGCAATGAAGATCTCTGAATCCCTCCTCTCTGAATCTCTCCTCTTTACTTTGAAGCAGGTAGTTGTATTAGGGGAACACAACGCAATCACTGCGGTGTAAACCACCGTCTGGCAAAGGGGATATACTCCCTTACAGGGAAAGCTTACCTGGGCTGCTGGGAATCCTCCACGGGACATGGCTTTGAGAGCTCTGCCTCAGTATTTGCTGTATCCTGGTTCCTTGCTCCCTCTTTCACATCCAGATCCTTGGTGGAAATTATTACCTGACTTTTTGATGGTAAAAAACCATCCAGATCTCTCCCAGAAAGACAGCTCCCAATTCCTTCCTTCCTGATGGGGGAAAAAATGAACCAGATTAATTAATTTCATCATAATAGGGAACTGGAACCAAAACATGCTGCAGGTGCTAGCTTTGCTGATTCAAAAACTAGCAGTCTGACGTAGCTTCTATCAAAGTTTGCAATGAAATATCTACGGACAAGGAATAGGATCAGCCTTGTTCCCACAAATCCTTACTTCCTCGAGTAGAGGGACTGCTTTGTGTAGCAAATACTACAGAATACAGGACAGGCTGGACTAGCTCTCTTGAGAAGGATCCCAAGGACAACAGTCCCACCCTGCCTGGATTGAGGCACACCTGCAGACAGGATAACCCTCTTTACCTTCAGAGGAACCTACGAACCGAATCCCCTAGGATTTGATCTAACCCCACATCTAAATCAAGCCCAGCTCTCTGTTCTTCTCCCTCAGCTCACCTCCACAAACACCACCAGCCTCGTCTGCAGGGAACAGCGTGTGTTCAGAGAGATACAGAAAAGTGCTTGCCAAATCCCCTTCCATCTCCCTAAAAAAAGAACTGTACAGAGGAGCTCCCCGTGTCATGTGGATACCAAAGCCTTGGTGGTTCCTCTTCTCTCTAACACAAGGACTTTGGGGAAATGTCAGGGAGGAACCAAGCAGATGCTCTGAGCTACAGACAGAAACTGCCAGCGTAGGGACCTCACTTCTATAAATGGAAGGACCTTTCTCTGCCCTGTACTGCTTGCTGGTTCCCTCTTCCCTCACAAAACCTCTTCTCCCTACCTGCTCCTCTGTCCATTGTCCCTTCCTCCCTTTCCACTTAGCAGATCTCCTTCTACCTAACACTTTAAAGAAAGACTGCAGGTTTAACATGTCTTCTGATGCCATCACAGGACTGTTCCCCTGCCTGCGTGTTCAACTCTCCACCTCTCTCGTCACAGGCTAACCCTGTCTGTGCTGGCCGCAAGCTCTTCAGCCCAAAGCCTGTCCATCCTCTGTGTCCGCAGCTCACACCCTGCGCAGCGCTCCGTGGTCATGGTTCATCCGAAACCGTTTGCAGTAAATCTTCTCCATAAGAGAGGTCTACCCTAGCCCAAGCTGCACCAGCCAGCCACACGCATGCCCTAACATCCTCCTGATGCTGTGGCTAGTGGCCATAAGAACCCCACAAACCCTTCCAGCGCTATGCTGGAATGTCATCCTTGAGGAAAAACAAAACTTCTAGGCACCCGTTAAGCCAGTTTCATCTCTGCATTCCTCCATGGGCTACCCATCACAACTTGACCAGAACTGGTCACCGTGACAAAACATAATCAGAGAAAAGGGAGAGCTGTCTGGCTACTTAACTCACTTGGGCTGCTCATAGATTTTCCTGGATTTCTTCTTCCCACCACGTCTGGATGAAAAAGAAACAGGTCTAGTCCCAAAAGCCTGTCCATCCTCTTCCCGCACCAAATGGCCATCCACATCAACCACACCTGCCTGGAAACAGGAAGAAATAAATCATGGCCCAGGAAGCATTAGATCTGTAGCTGTCTAGACCACAAAAACTATACAGCCCTTGCCCAGCAGCTATTTCACCCTGTTGTACAATCTAATCCAGAAATCTGCATGCACTACCAAGTACTTCAGGGAAACACATCTATAAGAACGAAGTGAAAACTAAAATACGGCCAAAATTATCCTCAAATTAATACGATGAATGTTTCAGCCACCGAGGGGGAGAATAACTTGGGTCTACTGTCACAGAACTAAAAGCAACCTCAGAAGTCTTCATTTAGTGAAGATATGTAAGATAACTACATTTCTTACACTAATTCTCATATTGCCTCAAGTATAAAACAGATGTTGTGAGGT